AAAAACGACATAACGAAGGCAATATGACATTAAGAATTATTTCTATTCTGACTCATTAACGCGACCTCGCAGTGTGAAAAATAAGTACGTTATTTTGAGGCACCTCGGGGATATGTGTTTATTCACCTCGGCTCTACGCGCCTCGGTGAATAAATCACATATCCCCTCGTTGCCTCAAAATAACCTATACATATTTGGCTATCGTTTATTTATATACCCACAATTCACAACTTTAGATAACTTACATGCCTAATTATCATTGTTCTAGTATACGGAAGCATTGAATAGAACGATGGTAAACGAAGGTAGGCTAACTAAGATTCAGAACTATCTACAAGACTGGAGTGAATAACTCTTATACATAACTCTAATGCTTAGGCCTGTTTTATGCGTCGAATTTCGGTTGCGTCGAATGCAATTCAAACAATAGATAATGATTGTTGTATTCTATGCTTCTGTGAACTAGAACAATATAAGGTTATCAAGCATGTGAGTTATGACAGTTATCGATCAGTGTTATGACAGTTGTGAGTTGGATAGCAACGACGTAAACAACGTTACTCGTTAGCCAAATTTGTCGCTAATGACGTATATTACCATGGTATCAAAGTATCAATACAACAATGGAGTGTTGATATCCTTTGTTTTGCTCACAAGTCATGATCCCATAGGTCACAACATGCATTAGTAGAATTTTAGCAGTCTAAATACTGACCCCATTATTAATTAAAATTAACTCAAGAGAGATTTCCGCTTACACCCAATTAATCTCGTCGGAGGAGGTGGAAAAAGAATCGGAACCAGGAACTTACAATCTTGGCTCATCCAGTTCACTGGACCATCCTCGTTCCTGCATCAAGATAAAGGGACTCAAAAAAGTCGATATCTAAATTTCTAGCTAGATTTTATTTTCACTGCAATGATATTAGAAATATATGGCGAAGAAAAAACCCAGCGGGCAAAATGACGTTTATTCAACGTTGAATCAACGTTGGAAATGACCTTCCAGACGATGGATAGACGTTGAAAAAGGATTGATAATGCAAATTGGATCGACGTTACTGTTTCGACGTTGAAACAACGTTGAAATTAGGTTGCTAATCTCGTCAACCATAATTTAACGTTGAATCAACGTTGAAACAACGTTGAGACTGACTTCGCAAATCGACGTCATACATTTAACCATGAATGAACGTTGATTCAACGTCTGTTGGCTGCTGTTGAACCAATGTTTTTAAAACAACGTCAGAGCAACGTAGATATTAGGTTGTCGACGTCGCAACCTTTTTTCTACCAAATTTCAACGTTGAAACAACGTCGTGTGCCCGGTGGGAAGCTTCTGGTTGAAAGCGCCATGCAATCAGTTTAAACTAGGGATAGATTCTGACTCTGTCTCCTGATTGGATGACTAGACAATGAAGTTCTCTGATTCGTTCAGTTCAAGTGTGTTCAGTGTTCTGATTGGTTGACTGGACGTCGTTGCACGATAGCGAGGTTATTGCCGCTTTCAGCCAGGGGCCGGTTGTTCAAAGCTGGATTAACGCTAACCCTCGGTTAAACCGATCGATATTATGAGGTGTGATATCCGCCAAAATTCATATATTCAATTATGCCATTGGAAATTGCATTTATCAGTTCAGTTATGCTATTATGATATTCGATATTATGATATTCGAATTTCATTCGGCGTGAAACAGTCATTATTGAAATTTCATTCGGCGTGAAACAGTCATTATTGAAATTTCATTCGGCGTGAAACAGTCGTTCGGCATGGCACTCAGAAACCAAAATTCGACTTCCGGTTCGGCATGGCACTCAGAAACCAAAACTCGACTTCCGGTTTAGCGGGAAATTGTAATTTCACCATGACCGAAGGCGAAGGCAATTTAAGTCAACAAGACAGAAATATAAGTGTTGTAGACGTATTGGAAACAACTGTGTTGAGGAACTTAGACATCGGCGACCAGTATGCCCATACGGCGCAAAAAGATTTCTAAAATTCCCCAACACTCTTTCTGGATTTGATATATATTTGACGGCAGTGCTGCCAGATGATGTACGTAGTAGCATGCGATTCGCTTTGAGAAATTACATCTGGACTCGCAACTTGTGCTGAAGAAGCATCATTTGATGATCCAGGATATTTTCTGATCAATCCTGTCGCTTCTTGCAACAAAGACACAGCACGCTGTTGACTTAATTGCCTTCGCCTTCGCCCATGTTGAAATTACAACTCCCCGCGTGCTTTTCCGCTAAATCGGAAGTCGAGTTTTGGTTTCTGAGTGCCATGCCGAATGACTATTTCAATAATGACTGTTTCACGCCGAATGAAATTTCAATAATGACTGTTTCACGCCGAATGAAATTCGAATAACATAATATCGAATATCATAATAGCATAACTGAACTTCATAAATGCATTTCCAATGGCATAATTGAATATATGAATTTTGGCGGATATCACACCTCATACGATTTAACCCGCTGTCTTGGTTTGTGCATTTCTGTACGTCTGTTTATCTCAAAACGTCAGAGAAGTAAACTCCATTTGATCCAAACAATATTTCTGAAAAAAATACCATTTCCAAACAGTATAGACAAGCTGTTGCAGTGTTGGAAATTGGGATGCTTGCTCTGAATTTTAGGTTAACCTTGGGTTAAGCACTGATTGGCTTTGGAACAATTGGCCCCTGCAGAAGTTTATTTTTCCTTTGGCTTTGCCATATCTATTATTATACACAATGAAAAATAAATTACTTCTGCAAGTTCTGGAACCTTTTCCATCCGAAACCGCTAATTAATTAAAGAGTAATTGAAGTCAAAAGAATTTAACATTCACACGCACATTGCATAATTAAACCATGCATAAAATTTGGCCACGTTGTCGTTAATCGGAAATTACGTAGTCGTAGATATAGTTAAATATTTAATTTTCTGTGTTTTCGACTTTCCTTGACAATACGCCAGTTGGCAAGCATATATTTAGCAAACGTGTTCAAATGATCGATGACTCATGCCAGGCACATGTCGCACTATTGTCGAATTCAATTCAGAATTCAAAGTCAAGTTTCCTTGACAAGTTTACTTTCTAGTTAATAAGCCTAAGTTTTCCTTGACATGTTTTTCCTTGACATGTTTTTCCTTGTTCTTGACAGTGAGTTTTGCTGTTCGCGTGCACGGAATGTTATTAAACATTTATCTCATGTCAAGGCAACCTCGCAAGCAAGGGCCTCCACACCCGCGGCGGATGTCAAGGGCGCCTTTTGTTTGCCAAAACCACAGAAGTAGTTCTTGTATACTTGTCAAGTTTTCCTTGTACAGTTGTACCGACGCGAACCGGGCCTTTCCTTGTCCAAAAGCTGTCATGGCTAGTATATCTTTGGAGCAAGACGGCTCCTTGGGAAACGGAAAATTGTCAATTTTTTCCGCACACATGAGCAGGAAAACTTGTCAAGGAAGATTTCTTCGTATAATTCGGTCGTGTGAAATGAAAATTAAACTCATCGAATAAATTAAATTCGTCCAAGACTTAAACTTTTTATCCGTCGTGCATCACGGCCAAACAGATAGATCTAGACAAGTAAAACTTCTATACACAGCGCGTCCGGCTTCATTATGTGAATTTCCATGACTTCTGTTTGTTATGGATTCAATTCGCCTCAATTCAATTCTTTTTTCGAAATTAAACCATGTTAAATTCGTGTCCTCGACCAATCGCCACATTTACTATGCCCATGGCGAATACAATTCGACTTATATGAAACGTTTTTCGCAAATCTGGTAGAATTCGAACGGAGCGGAAATTTTCTATGCCTTGTGATTTCTCGGGTGCGGGAATAATTAGAAAAGACAAAGAAAATTCCGCTCCGCGCGCAAAATTCCACCTAATGGAAAACTCACTTGATGGATCAAGGGTTTGATTGCAAACCATCAATTGTTGGGAATTTTTATATTAAAAATTTTGGTCCCGAGCGGTATCTAGTTGAGTTGGGGGGG